TGGTTTTTCCCTTCATACTTTTGTTTTTTAGCCACTTAAAATTTATTATTCTATTATTTTTTTAGTCAATTATTGCAAATCATTCAAAATAAATTCATAACAACGTGTCTGGCCCTTACTATTTCTTAAGCCTAAATTTAAATTTGGATAAATAATCTCTAAAAAATTTCTCTATTAATTTTATACAAAACCCATACCGAACTAATGAAGATTCAAAGTAATAGCACCCTTAATTTTTTTTTTTAGTTACAGAGTATCTAGATTTTGTATTGATTATTCCCTCGAGTTCAACTAGCGTTCCTACTTAAGCGTGCTTCATATGAGAAAAGACAAAATTGGCTTATTTTTCATGAGTCGGTTCGGTTCCACCAAGTTGTCGTGTGCCTTTTGAAAGCGCAACAGTTCTGAATGAGTTGGGAACAAAAATATATCAGGATAAGCACAAAACTTACATCTCTTTTATCCACATAGATAAATTTAATCTTTTTTATATGTTGCGTTGCAGGATTGTAGGTTATTCTTTATTGTCTAATGTATTAATAGTGCAAAGGGTGCCCTTTAATATGCAACTTACACCTCTTCTCTTTCGTTGGTTTTTAATAATAATAATAACAATAATAAAAAAAATGATGGGTATTTTTCAATATCTTTTGTGGTTTATACTTGGTGGATTTTGCTGTAAAAAATTAGCTGATTATTTTTTATTTTTATGAGCGGAAATGAGTATAAACTTAGAGACAAAAGTGTGTAATCAATTTATACCACCAATTATATAGCAACAATTTTATATATAAGTGTCAAATGTACTTCGTACACGTCTTTTCAAAGGGTTTGGTTTGCAGTTAAAATTATAGAACTTGGAAGGGAGATATTCATTTCATACTTTTTAGATTACATTTTTTTCTGACCAATTTTGTTGAATAAATTAATCAATGTAGGTGAATTAATCACCANTAAATTTAAATTTGGATAAATAATCTCTAAAAAATTTCTCTATTAATTTTATACAAGACCCATACCAAACTAATGAAGATTCAAAGTAATAGCACTCTTACAATTTTTTTTTTTAGTTACAGAGTATCTAGATTTTGTGTTGATTATTCCCTCGAGTTCAACTAGCGTTCCTATTTTAGATTTTGTGTTGCTTATTCCCTCGAGTTCAACTAGCGTTCCTACTTAAGCGTGCTTCAATGAGAAAAGACAAAATTGGCTTATTTTTCATGAGTCGAGTCGGTTCGGTTCCACCAAGTTGTCGTGTGCCTTTTGAAAGCGCAATAGTTCTGAATGAGTTGGGAACAAAAATATATCAGGATAAGCACAAAACTTACATCTCTTTTATCCACATAGATAAATTTAATCTTTTTTATATGTTGCGTTGCAGGATTGTAGGTTATTCTTTATTGTCTAATTTATTAATAGTGCAAAGGGTGCCCTTTAATATGCAACTTACACCTCTTCTCTTTCGTTGGTTTTTAATAATAATAATAAAAAAAAATGATGGGTATTTTTCAATATCTTTTGTGGTTTATACTTGGTGGATTTTGCTGTAAAAAATTAGCTAATTATTTTTTATTTTTATGAGCGGAAATGAGTATAAACTTAGAGACAAAGTGTGTAATCAATTTATACCACCAATTATATAGCAACAATTTAATATATCAGTGTCAAATGTACTTCGTACACGTCTTTTCAAAGGGTTTGGTTTGCGGTTAAAATTATAGAACTTGGAAGGGAGATATTCATTTCATACTTTTTAGATTACATTTTTTTCTGATCAATTTTGTTGAATAAATTAATCAATGTAGGTGAATTAATCATGAATCTTAAACTTTAATGAAATTTGACGATGCAAAAAACTAGATAATGAGTGACATAAGAGGTGAAGAGCTCCTTGACCCATAAAAAGTTTAGCGTGCATGTAAATATATAATGATACAGATCAAACAAACATAGGATTAAGTGGTTCGACAAACTGAAGAGCTTGACTAATCTATTTTAATGGGATGTCTTGTTCTNTTGTCGTGTGCCTTTTGAAAGCGCAATAGTTCTGAATGAGTTGGGAACAAAAATATATCAGGATAAGCACAAAACTTACATCTCTTTTATCCACATAGATAAATTTAATCTTTTTTATATGTTGCGTTGCAGGATTGTAGGTTATTCTTTATTGTCTAATTTATTAATAGTGCAAAGGGTGCCCTTTAATATGCAACTTACACCTCTTCTCTTTCGTTGGTTTTTAATAATAATAATAAAAAAAAATGATGGGTATTTTTCAATATCTTTTGTGGTTTATACTTGGTGGATTTTGCTGTAAAAAATTAGCTAATTATTTTTTATTTTTATGAGCGGAAATGAGTATAAACTTAGAGACAAAGTGTGTAATCAATTTATACCACCAATTATATAGCAACAATTTAATATATCAGTGTCAAATGTACTTCGTACACGTCTTTTCAAAGGGTTTGGTTTGCGGTTAAAATTATAGAACTTGGAAGGGAGATATTCATTTCATACTTTTTAGATTACATTTTTTTCTGATCAGTTTTGTTGAATAAATTAATCAATGTAGGTGAATTAATCATGAATCTTAAACTTTAATGAAATTTGACGATGCAAAAAACTAGATAATGAGTGACATAAGAGGTGAAGAGCTCCTTGACCCATAAAAAGTTTAGCGTGCATGTAAATATATAATGATACAGATCAAACAAACATAGGATTAAGTGGTTCGACAAACTGAAGAGCTTGACTAATCTATTTTAATGGGATGTCTTGTTTTTGGAATCTATATTATTTTTTTATGAAAAACTCCATCTAGGTAAGGATTTTATTCCTTTTATATTGTAGAGTGGTCCTCAAGTAATCGTGGAATTGTCCTTAATTTTTTAAGATTTTCTTGGGGAGTATTTGATCATTGTGAGTTATATTCCTGGATAATTACAATGCATTATTCTAAAACATGTATTTCCTATTTTTATCATCTCATCTCTTCAGCATGATGGATAGCTTGTCACCCCTATTGGGCCTCCTTTGCACTGGGCTGACCGCCTCCACATCTGGATNGATGGATAGCTTGTCACCCCTATTGGGCCTCCTTTGCACTGGGCTGACCGCCTCCATCTGGGTNAGAACTTGGAAGGGAGATATTCATTTCATACTTTTTAGATTACATTTTTTTCTGACCAATTTTGTTGAATAAATTAATCAATGTAGGTGAATTAATCACCAATCTTAAACTTTAATGAAATTTGACGATGCAAAAAACTAGATAATGAGTGACATAAGAGGTGAAGAGCTCCTTGACCCATAAAAAGTTTAGCGTGCATGTAAATATATAATGATACAGATCAAACAAACATAGGATTAAGTGGTTCGACAAGCTGAAGAGCTTGACTAATCTATTTTAATAGGGTGTCTTGTTTTNCGTGCATGTAAATATATAATGATACAGATCAAACAAACATAGGATTAAGTGGTTCGACAAACTGAAGAGCTTGACTAATCTATTTTAATGGGATGTCTTGTTTTTGGAATCTATATTATTTTTTTATGAAAAACTCCATCTAGGTAAGGATTTTATTCCTTTTATATTGTAGAGTGGTCCTCAAGTAATCGTGGAATTGTCCTTAATTTTTTAAGATTTTCTTGGGGAGTATTTGATCATTGTGAGTTATATTCCTGGATAATTACAATGCATTATTCTAAAACATGTATTTCCTATTTTTATCATCTCATCTCTTCAGCATGATGGATAGCTTGTCACCCCTATTGGGCCTCCTTTGCACTGGGCTGACCGCCTCCATCTGGGTCCAATCCATCCCTGACTGGACTCTATCTTCTTTTGGGCCAATCCATCTTATATTTTTAGCAGGTGTGTCAAAAATTATTGTGAATTCAACTGAAAATTAGATTTGGTTAATGGATTTTGTTTACATAGCATTAGTAGTAGTCTCTAACATACCTTTTCAATAAATCAATGCATTGTTCTCCTTTTATGTGGGCCGTTATTTTTTGTCGAATGTCTATGGGGGGATCTTTTAGTCATATGAAAAATATATGCGTTTTCTAAAATAATTTTTTAAAATTCATTGCGTTATTAGATTTTTTATCATTTAAATTAGAAGAGTTATCTTTTTAAAAGTGAGGATAGACCAAATACCGATAATATGTTTAATCATGAATTTAAATTGTGCGGGACTCCTTTGGAGGATTGGGGAGACAGAAAACATGAGTGATCCATGATACTTGTTTTTGAATTTATATATCATTCTAATTCTTTTACACAGATTCAACATCAGCTTCTTGACATATTTACCCCACACTTGTCTTTGTCTAGCCAGCCAACAAACGATAAAATATTGCATTTGATCGAGTTTTTAGAGAGAGAGAGAGAGAGAAATGACAAATTTTGAATTCTTAGATGAGAGGGAGAGAATGAATGTATGTTTCATGTTTTCTAAGCAATGGAGGGACAATAGCATTCATTTATTGTCACAGAAATGCCAAATTTGAATTTAAAATAGGATCAATTTTATTTTGTATCCATAAAATTTCTAAATTTTTATTTTGCACTATCAAAGTTTATTTTTTTTTTCAAATTGCACCCTTAATCAAACAAATTTATTGCAATCAGACCCAATAAAAAATTCTCATTCCATTTGCTCTCTATTTTATCCCACCCGTGCAAATCACTAGAAGTAATGATGAACTTATTAGTAACAACACACCTATTTTGAGGTCAAAAAACGTTTGTTTGAGAGTCTAATCCAAAATAGATTAGGTGGTTCATTAAATAATTGGTTGGGTTTGAGTCTCAAAATAAGTGTATTTTGACTAATAAGCCCTTCTTATGTTAAAATAAGCGAGAGTTATTTAGTGGGCTGATTGAAATAAATTTGTCGGAGTAGGAGTATATGTAAAGTGTGTAATCATTGATTTGAGACCTTGTTTAAACAATTCTCTCTCTCTCTCACAACACACGCACACACGGCTCAGCGATGCCACCTGCAATGCTACCCACGTGTTTGCAATTTTCAAATACATCGGTTGGTTTCATCTGCCATTTCGTCGGTGTGTCTTGTTGGGACGGCCGACCGAACCGTCTGCTCAGCCTTCAGCTTCGGGACATGAGCCTCGCCAGTGAAATTCCAGACGCTTTACAGTATTGTCAGAGCCTACAAACTCTCGATCTATCCGGTAACAGTCTCTCCGGTTCGATCCCTGCTCAAATTTGCAGTTGGTTCCCTTATTTAGTTACCCTGGACTTATCAAACAACTCTTTAACCGGTTCAATCCCTGCCGATCTTGGTAATTGCTCGTATTTAAACAATTTAATATTATCAAACAACAAATTATCTGGCAACATACCGCGTCAAATTTTTAGTTTAAATCGGCTTAAGAAAATTTCTGCTGCTAATAATGATTTATCCGGTGAGATTCCTCCGTTTTCCAATTCAACAATTATTCCGGATGATTTTGCTGGAAATAGTGGACTATGCGGTGATCCCCTAGGGAGGTGTGGTGGTTTGAATAAGAAAAAAATTGGCAATGATTATTGCGGCTGGAGTATTAGGTGCCGTGGCATCAATGTTGTTACAGTTTGGAGTGTGGTGGAGGTATTTACGAGGTTGACTCGGAGAGGCTAGCTATGGGATTGGGAGAGACGATAGTGGTGGTTTGGGCCGNAAAAAAATTGGCAATGATTATTGCGGCTGGAGTATTAGGTGCCGTGGCATCAATGTTGTTACAGTTTGGAGTGTGGTGGAGGTATTTACGAGGTTGAGTCGGAGAGGCTAGCTATGGGATTGGGAGAGACGATAGTGGTGGTTTGGGCCGAAAGATTGAGGGCTCATAAGCTTTGCTCAGGTATCTTTGTTTAGTGTGGTGGAGATACTTACGAGGTTGAGTCGGAGAGGCTAGCTATGGGATTGGGAGAGACAATACTGGTGGTTTGGGCGGAAAGATTGAGGGCTCATAAGCTTCGCTCAGGTATCTTTGTTTAGGAAACCGCCACTGTTGTTTAAATCATAATAAAGACGAGCCGAAAATTTAGCCGTATTAAATTTAAATTGTGTTAATTTTTTAGGATTAGATCACGAGGGATACTCTAGTCGTGGATGACATGTCTTCGACCGGAGCAAGAAAATCGAAGTGCACGTAAATTAATCTAAACACCCTTAATTGTTAAAAAAAAATANCGAGGTTCAGATGCCCTTTAGTATAATTTTTCTTATTTTTTTCTCAATAATAAACTATCAACAACATATTGATAAGAGCTTCATTGAGGAAAATTGAGTAAATATATACCGACAAAGATCACGCAGTCGGTTGCATTTGAATTTAGGTAAATACCTGGCCATAGTATTTAGTCTAACATTCTCAAACTGGATTCAAGCATTTTTTCCTTCTGAATTCTGATGAAACAAATTTACAGTACATTTCTTCTACGTAGTTTCTTANAAAGTTGGCGGATTTAATAGTTTTAACACAAAGAACATTATAATTTTGACCAGGACCGAGACGGCTTATAAAACATTTTTTTCCTGACGGATCTGCGTTAGGGGCACATGTCCACTCTCAACTCTTTTGTTTATTTTTTTTTAATAATCTTTTTAACATTGTTAACATATTTTGGATATATGTTAAACATTACGAACAATGATTCCAAATGGTGACTAAAAAATGAACTTATCAATTGAAATATGTTTTAATTCCGCCTTGTATATATATAATTGTGATGACATTGATGATGTTGCATGTAGTCATTCCTATCAGTCGGGGCAGCATACTCATCAACTTTCCATTAATAAGCCTGCACGAGATGTAATTCTGTCCCCCCTTGCAACAAAAAGGCCCCATAATTTTGAATCTCAATCACCTTAGACCAAGTCTTTGCTTCTTGAAACTATCAAAATCAAACCAAAAAAGAAGCAAGAAAAAGAGAAAGTGAAAGAAAAAAGATTTGAGCAAAGGGTTACTTTGTTTTCCACTTTAAAGAGAGATCATAAAAGCTAATATATATAATATTGTTGATTATATCATATCTCTTTTGTTTTACTTTCTCAATTTTTATCAACGATTAATCATCCATCATGAATTCAAATAGAACTCAATTATAGATATAAGTGAATGTCTTATAAATATAAGATAGAGTGATCTTCATTGTCAATGTAATAGAAAGAATCTGGATTCTATTTAATGGAATACATTTTGTTGATCGAAGGAGCTACAGAGCTCCCATGCCTCCATACATTTTACCCAAATTCTTCTAACGATCAACATTGATCTTATTTTTATCTATTTTGATATAATGGTATAAAATTTATTTCAATTTTTTTTTCGTTAAAAAACATCATCTTTTGTACACGGTCCCCAATGTTAGATAAGTTAACCAACACTCACTCTAATGCTAAACAACTTCATTAATCCACGCTTACTTTTCTCTTCTCTCACCCCTACTCTCTCTTACTTCACTTCTAAATTGCGTAATTAAAGAAAAATAAATTGTTATTTAAAATAGAAATAATACATGGTTAATGTTCAATTTTTGATATTGCAGGATGTTCAGGCACGAAATTATTGCTAACAATACTATTATTATAGCACAATTCAAGGGGGAAATTTTTTAGAAAAGAGGGCACCTTTAACCAATACAATTTTGCTTTTTATGGGAGCTGACGCCTTCAAACAAAAGAAAGCAAATCCAATGAAAAAGCAAAGACAATTTACCCTTTAAAGGATCTTACAAACGAGCCTAGCCAAAATGTATGGAGAATAGCAGTTTTCTCGGGTTGTGCTCTATTTTTATTCAGTATCTACTTGTTGCTGGTTTTCTTTTGCATGCAAAGTGATGTCCCAACCCATAAATCACGCTTCCTTTGAATTCAAAGCAGGCAGGGATAATCATTTTTTTTTTATTTTTGTGGGTTCAACGGTTCAGAGATGTTTGAGTCAGCGCATCTTGACTAATCTTCTCCCTGATCCGATTAAAAACAGACCATCCATATCGGACTAGGGTATTCATGAAAGATAAATTTTTTCTGACTATAAGGAATTGTCAAAATTTGATCCTCTAAATTGGTTGGGTTAACCAAATTTTGATTCTACTGTATTATACCTCCAAAGGGTTCACTCTTTCTAAGGGTTCTCGCACATGTAATTTGTGTGAGAGAAGCTTCGGCGAATCTGATACCATAAAGTCGAATGAAATAACGTAGGAAATTGATAACTCCCCTATTTCAAGGGTTCTCTAGTAGTTCACACGATAATAACAAGAATGACAAATAACTCGATGTAAATGTTCGAGGTTCAGATGCCCTTTAGTATAATTTTTCTTATTTTTTTCTCAATAATAAACTATCAACAACATATTGATAAGAGCTTCATTGAGGAAAATTGAGTAAATATATACCGACAAAGATCACGCAGTCGGTTGCATTTGAATTTAGGTAAATACCTGGCCATAGTATTTAGTCTAACATTCTCAAACTGGATTCAAGCATTTTTTCCTTCTGAATTCTGATGAAACAAATTTACAGTACATTTCTTCTACGTAGTTTCTTAAGCTCGATCAGGTGGTTGTCTGTACTTCCCTGCTCTCCTGAGGAAACATTACAATGACAATAATGAGAGAGNTAAGCTCGATCAGGTGGTTGTCTGTACTTCCCTGCTCTCCTGAGGAAACATTACAAATGACAATAATGAGAGAGAGAGAGAGTTACTGCATATTACACAAGAAAATGACCGACGACGTGATAAGCCAAAGTAAACAACACCNAAAAAAAAAAAAAAAACTGCTCATGAAAGTAAAGTTAAAGTTGGCGGATTTAATAGTTTTAACACAAAGAACATTATAATTTTGACCAGGACTGAGACGGCTTATAAAACATTTTTTTCCTGATGGATCTGCGTTCTCTCAACTCTTTTGTTTTTTTTTTTAATAATCTTTTTAACATTGTTAATATATTTTGGATATATGTTAAACATTACGAACAATGATTCCAAATGGTGACTAAAAAATGAACTTATCAATTGAAATATGTTTTAATTCCGCCTTGTATATATATAATTGTGATGACATTGATGATGTTGCATGTAGTCATTCCTATCAGTCGGGGCAGCATACTCATCAACTTTCCATTAATAAGCCTGCACGAGATGTAATTCTGTCCCCCCTTGCAACAAAAAGGCCCCATAATTTTGAATCTCAATCACCTTAGACCAAGTCTTTGCTTCTTGAAACTATCAAAATCAAACCAAAAAAGAAGCAAGAAAAAGAGAAAGTGAAAGAAAAAAGATTTGAGCAAAGGGTTACTTTGTTTTCCACTTTAAAGAGAGATCATAAAAGCTAATATATATAATATTGTTGATTATATCATATCTCTTTTGTTTTACTTTCTCAATTTTTATCAACGATTAATCATCCATCATGAATTCAAATAGAACTCAATTATAGATATAAGTGAATGTCTTATAAATATAAGATAGAGTGATCTTCATTGTCAATGTAATAGAAAGAATCTGGATTCTATTTAATGGAATACATTTTGTTGATCGAAGGAGCTACAGAGCTCCCACGCCTCCATACATTTTACCCAAATTCTTCTAACGATCAAGATTGATCTTATTTTTATCTATTTTGATATAATGGTATAAAATTTATTTCAATTTTTTTTTCGTTAAAAAATATCATCTTTTGTACACGGTCCCCAATGTTAGATAAGTTAACCAACACTCACTCTAATGCTAAACAACTTCATTAATCCACGCTTACTTTTCTCTTCTCTCACCCCTACTCTCTCTTACTTCACTTCTAAATTGCGTAATTAAAGAAAAATAAATTGTTATTTAAAATAGAAATAATACATGGTTAATGTTCAATTTTTGATATTGCAGGATGTTCAGGCACGAAATTATTGCTAACAATACTATTATTATAGCACAATTCAAGGGGGAAATTTTTTAGAAAAGAGGGCACCTTTAACCAATGCAATTTTGCTTTATATGGGAGCTGACGCCTTCAAACAAAAGAAAGCAAATCCAATGAAAAAGCAAAGACAATTTACCCTTTAAAGGATCTTACAAACGAGCCTAGCCAAAATGTATGGAGAATAGCAGTTTTCTCGGGTTGTGCTCTATTTTTATTCAGTATCTACTTGTTGCTGGTTTTCTTTTGCATGCAAAGTGATGTCCCAACCCATAAATCACGCTTCCTTTGAATTCAAAGCAGGCAGGGATAATCATTTTTTTTTTTTTTTGTGGGTTCAACGGTCAGAGATATTTGAGTCAGCGCATCTTGACTAATCTTCTCCCTGATTCGATTAAAAACAGATCATTCATATCGGACTAGGGTATTCATGAAAGATAAATCTTTTATGACTATAAAGAATTGTCAAAATTTGATCCTCTAAATTGGTTGGGTTAACCAAATTTTGATTCTACTGTATTATACCTCCAAAGGGTTCACTCTTTCTAAGGGTTCTCGCACATGTAATTTGTGTGAGAGAAGCTTCGGCGAATCTGATACCATAAAGTCGAATGAAATAACGTAGGAAATTGATAACTCCCCTATTTCAAGGGTTCTCTAGTAGTTCACACGATAATAACAAGAATGACAAATAACTCGATGTAAATGTTCGAGGTTCAGATGCCCTTTAGTATAATTTTTCTTATTTTTTTCTCAATAATAAACTATCAACAACATATTGATAAGAGCTTCATTGAGGAAAATTGAGTAAATATATACCGACAAAGATCACGCAGTCGGTTGCATTTGAATTTAGGTAAATACCTGGCCATAGTATTTAGTCTAACATTCTCAAACTGGATTCAAGCATTTTTTCCTTCTGAATTCTGATGAAACAAATTTACAGTACATTTCTTCTACGTAGTTTCTTAAGCTCGATCAGGTGGTTGTCTGTACTTCCCTGCTCTCCTGAGGAAACATTACAATGACAATAATGAGAATGAGAGAGAGAGAGAGTTACTGCATATTACACAAGAAAATGACCGACGACGTGATAAGCCAAAGTAAACAACACCACCTTCATGTGCATACATATAAAACCAACCAGGCCTAACTAAATCATCCTAGACTCTCTAAATCAGAAGGTTAGGGGTCAAGTCTTGCAAAATGGTCATGCCTCTCTTGGTTGGCTCTATTCTGCCATTTTTTCCGGTTTCTTCCGATTGCATTGCTATCTGTTGTGGGTTATGAAATCAGAACATGTTTGTAGACGTAAACATGCAAGTGTGTACCTGTTGTGAAGAGGATCAGGACCATTAGGCACTCTTCTCTTGCTCACGTAATTTAGATCAAACTTCTGATGAACAGAAAGCCTCTCTGTTCCTATCAACTTCAAGAGCTTGAAATTCCCTTTTGATGAAACTGCTATCGAATTTGAACTTGTTTTGGTTACCTGCTTCCCTAAAATCCCCACAAATAAAAACCAGATGAAACCCACAAACAAAATAGCTACCAATGAAGCCTTTGAAATTGTTCTTCTGCCACCCATAGTTCTCTCTCTCTCTCTTCTATTCTTATATACCCTGATCCTCTCAAACGCAGAATAACAGGCCGTTAGGAAAGAGGAGAAGTGAGGAGCTCAAAACGTTCATGGTGGCGTTGGCATGAGGGTTATGCATTCGGAGGTCTCAGATTAGAAGTGAACAGAAGAGCAAATAGGGTAGGAGAGAGCAGGTTAAGGAAAGTGTGGGTGGTTTTTTCAACTTGGCGGGTAAGGAGTGATTGGGGTTCTCTTTATAGGTGGAGGATAAAAGCAATTTTGTATTGCATTTAGACAGAGAGAGGAGAGAGAGGGATAGTAGCCGGAGAGAAATTGATGGCGAAATTGTTGCTTTACACAGATTATGGGTCCACAGGAAAACAATGTCTATTCTTAGGCAAGATGGAGGAATAGAGACTCAGGTCCAAATACATTTACTCTTCAACTTTTTTTTGAAGATCTTTGAATTTAAGTAGGACCTATTATATATAAACGAGGAGTAATACTAGATAAATTTAAAAATTAGATTTAATAATTTTAACCATTAAATAGGTAGTGAATCTTAATAAATGCTGGGACTCACAGTAAAATCAATGGTTAAAATTATCAAATTTAATTTTCAAGTCTATTATTTAAATAAATTTGTCATTCATTAACGATAAACGAGTCTATCACTCATCAACAATAAATGTTTTGTCAAATAAAACAAAAAGACATTGAAGGGATCGGTGTAAATCTTATATGATTTGTTTAGTGCCAATGAGTAGAAACTACTGTTAGTCAATTGGTAAATCAGCATTAGGTCCTCAATCTAATGAATTTCATTTCATTTCATTTTTCTCATACCAATCGAATACTTTGTTTCACTTTATTTTTGTGTTCATCACTATTTGCTGAAATCTCATGTTAGAAACTTCTCAATTATAACCAAAACCAGGCTAAGTCACCACAAGACTGTTTCTTTCCTAGTCCTACTACATGACTTAAATCCCAGCTCCATTAGATCTACGCCAAATGGGTACGCAATAGACTCAAGAATCGGAATATCCGTCCAATAGAAGAGGAAATTCCAACTGCATCTTGCTGTCTAGGTCCAAGATGCCGTCCACAAAAGAGTCCACAGCAGATGGAGTCGCCTCGGAACAATTTCTTCTGTGACTTCCGTTATTTCTTTCATCATAACCATCTTTCCCATGTGTGATTCCATTGGAGTTATTTCCATTTCCATTGCCAAAATTATATGGAAATGTCTCGTTTTGCATCGTAACTTCATCGTTCTTTGATGATAACATCCCCTGGAATTCATGCTCTTTTTGCTGCTCTATATCAGTAGATTCAGAAGGCTCTCCGAGAATGAATTCAGTCCAGCTAGGGGGAGAAGGTGGTACCATTTGAACCCGATAAGTCTGGCAGGAAAAGGATTGAGGTGAGCTCAATTGTGTGATACCACATGAAGATGATGAAGAAGCAGAAGAGGGGACTTCATTGAAGAAATGTGGGAAGACAGTTTCTTGGTTGATTACTGGAAAAGGAGCCACATTGCCCCAGGACGAGTTGTTGGTAACAGGTGTAGCTTGAAATTGCTCTATTATTGGACTATTGATCATTTGGGTGTCCAAGAGTTCTGTTGGAACTAAATATGGTTCGGCTTTTGGCACCGACCTGTTGGTTGGTGAATAGCTAAGTGATCCAATAGAGTTTCGGGTGTTTGGGAGGCCGCTGATGTTTCCATAATCAGTAAGGATCTGAGAGAAGGGCTTATGGGTTACAGGATCAATTCCCATTTTGGAGAGCTTCTTCCTTAGCTTAGTGTTCCAGTAGTTCTTGACATCATTGTCTGTTCTTCCAGGTAGCTGCTTTGCTATTAAAGACCACCTGCGCCATAGAGACAATGGAGAGAGAGAGAGAGAGAGAGCATTAACAAACTTCAGCATCCAAGTGTTTTGTTTGCAACTTGTAAACCCAAAAAAAACTGAAGTTCAAGTTTTTAAAGGAAACTATAAAAAAATCTAATATTTTTTTTCACGAACTCCAAATATGTTAATAAAATGCTCATTTTATATCCACTTTCTTTGATACATCTCAGTAGAATTTTTATAATTTAAACACCCCTTTTTCTAGTTTCTTCTGCAGGCCAACTGATGAATGTGAAAAGGTACAAAGATCAAGTAACCCAGTTATCAGAATATTCCAGTGTCCATAACAGGAAAAACTGAGATATACCCTATGTTGCGAGGCTGGGATCAAGTTAAATGAACATTGGATTGACCGATCGTACCATTTTCTTTTTAAGAGGAATGACATTGTTCCAAAAATTCAACAGACATGATCATAAAAACATTATCAAGAAAGAAAACAATATTAATTAAACAGGCTAAGAATTCTGAAAATTAAAGGTCAATTTTAAAGTTTCAGGAACTTTGAAGATTCGACAGAAAACTGGATCATTTGACTGGACAAAAGAATAGTAGATCCAAAACAACAATGGAATAGAAAAGCCAAAATATCTGGGGGAGGAAAAAAGGGAAACAACCTGCTGCCAATAGCTTTATGAAGCTCGAGAATGAGTTCTTCTTCCCGGGGTGTGAAGTAGTCATGCTTGAGGTCAGGCCTCAGATAATTAGTCCATCTTAGCCTACAGCTCTTCCCACATCTATTAAGCCCTGTTTCGACTCGCACAAACACAGTTAGAATAAAAATATGGCGTATGTCGAGAGTATTGACGATTAAAATTCTTAATAATGCAAAGCTCAATAATCTTATGCAAGCAGAAAAGAGAAAGTATCCCAGTAAACCTGCTTTCTGGGGGACCAAGGTCCAGTTGCCAATTCCATGGCTAGCTACGTATGCCAGTATCTTTGCATCTTCTTCTGCAGTCCAAGGGCCTCTTTTCACGTTAGCTTTATCACAACAAGGAGGTCTACCCATCAAAATGATAATGGTGTAAGTGTATGAGAGAGAGAGAGAGAGAGAGAGAGAGAGGAATATGCAATGGTGGGTTTGATGTAATGGTGATGTAATTTTACAGCTTTACAAAGAACGTTTATGGGGGAATATTTAACAAGTGAAGAAGCAAGAGATGCATGTAATTTGGCTCCTACTTAACAACAATTGCATGATTGTATCATCAACTAGTAAAACGGTTTTACATGACATGAAATATAGTGCTTCTCTCTCTCTCTCACTCTCTCTCTCTCTTTCTCTCTCATAAGCTTGGCTCAAAGAGCATTACTGTTTTCAGGTTCAAATTGGGTGAATTATTTTGTTAAGCTGAGTTAACTAATCTGATTCGCTTGTGCCGGGTCTGGAGACAACCGCCCCTCTTAAGCATTGGCGTATTCATTTACAACTGTGACAATCTTAACCGAAAACCAGGTCCGCATGGCACACTTGTGTATGTTGAGTTGAGGAGTTCTTTAGAAGACACCTTAATTAATTTATGGTAGGTTTTGATCTTAGGCAGGAGAGAGAGAGAGAGAGGAGCGCCACATGATTAATTGAGAAGCAAATACTTTCATATGACTTAATTGTTAAAGAAAATTAGAGTGTAGCTCCATGACAGTAGAACATGGAGTTCTTCATTATTTTCATATATAGGACTTGCAATCACAGCAAGATGTTTGGTACAGCCATCAATCTTTACTGTGTAAATAAAACCAAGCTTCAAATGCAAGGAAAATGAGTAACTACGATGAGCACACCTTGCAGCTCTTCCTACAATATCCAATAGCCAGTTCAGAACCCACCATATATACAGGATTCTTTGCACATTCGCCAGCAGCAGCCCACTTAGGGCAATTCACATTCTCGTCAACGCAATCTCCACTTGACGAACGTTTTGGTCTGTCGAAAGACCTCACATGAATCCACTTCGTTGCAGACCACTTTTCACCCTCAATGGATCGGTAGTTGCATCAGGATTAAGGCTAAAGAACAGCAAAGCATCGCTCTTCTTGGGTTTCACTGCATGGAAAGCATGCTTCATTATACTTGATGCGTATTACAAAATGGCATGTATTTCCTTTTGGGTATTTGTGTTACTCCAAAATGCAAATATTCCCTCAGTTATAGGCAGGGACAGATTTCAGACAAGTCTAAAATCATGCTTCTATGCTATCCTCCTCCCAGTAGTAATAAAATGTGAGTGCATGATTCATTGACAGTGATTACTTTAATTGGATTCGAGGAAAAGGAAAACATGAAATTATTCCCCTAGATCGACCCATGTGACACATCGAATGACTTCATAGAGAATTATTTTTTAAGAGAAACATCAAAGAGGGAGGAGGAAACCCATTTAGAGGGTTAGACTCGAACCTGCATGACTTGTGTGGGTGGGAGGATTCCCTGCCACTATGCTATCTCCCATGGTCTTCATAGAATTGTTGGAACAATTGTGATGATTTTGAACCACCAAACTTACCACATTGCTTCACGGGCAAGACATTGTAGATTCAAAACATTACCAAAAACATTGGCATGTCATTTCATCTGATCTACCTATGCATCCTGATGAAACTGTGAAACATATAAAAAGCCTTCTATTAACTTTAATACCATCCCAACCCCTGTGCCACCCTACTCCCCACAACCCCAAATTCCAGTCTCCCTCTCTCTAAAAACTTATTTCAATAAAGTAATTTTCATTATTTTGTAGGTTTCTTCGTTATTTGTGTGGTAATACCTAACAATATTCCCCGGAGTATGTATAAACTTTTCTTCAAAATTTCCTTAATATGTGCAAATATTACAAAATATTATGAAGCTAATTGATAAATGGCACTAAATTGACCTGCATAGCCATTTTTAGCACAATCAGACCAGTCATCACCCTTTGGTTGAGCTCCTTTTGCCTGTAGCAAACACAAAACTTTTTTGTTAGCACCTAGCGAGAAGAAAAAACAGGGGACAGCAACAATATTGCAGAAGAAAATATACCTCTGAACTGGGAAAAATTGTTTCTCCACCCTTCTCGATGTTAGACAAATACATAAGTACAGTAGCCACTCGGTTACCACCCCGTTCTTGATTGATCTTGTCGTTAAAGTAATCAAAATGTGGCTCGTACTTCTGACCATGATCATAGTGTAGTATTTGTATAGATTCACCGTTCTCTGAATTGCAACATCAGGTTCAGGGACAGAATAAGAACTTGTTTCCTATCCAATTCCATATGAGACCATAAATCATCATAAAAATATATTACAAACCTACCTTCAGGAAGGAAAGTCCAAGCGGCAATCCTGACCTCAATGCCAGCAACTACATCATCCTGCAGAAGCGGAGAAGGAAAAAAATCCAGTGAGCTTTCCAATCTGTAGCTAAATCAGTCACATATCAGGACTCAAGTTCATTTCACAATTGAGATTGTCCTCCATATGAGAAATTTTGAAGGGAATACCCCAGAAAATGCATATTGTATTCCGTACAGTATGACACAGTAACAAACAGTTTTGGTTAAGCTGTAATTTGGCCAATTCAAAGGCACCACTTAAACCCTATACACTATTGTTAATAATAACAAGACATATGCTTTGTCCAGATTAAAAACATCGTCAAATTTCCAGCTTCTGAAGGATTTTGATGCAGCAGGTTAAACTAAAAAGATTGACACACACAAAACAAATAAGTAACCTATGGTTTAGTACATGATGGTGGTCCATCTTAAACACTGGTCAGGGTAGGACTCCTGTAAGTTTGAATCACAAAAGTAAAGCAATGTAAACCAAATGGTGTTTTCAATGCTCTGGTCTAGCAAGCATCAAGCAACTCCTTGGGCACCTCACACAGTTGCTATGAATTAGACCTCATAACAAAACAAGGGCAATGACATGCAAATATGTCACCCTAACTTTCAATCTTTCCACAATCCACAAATCACAGCTGAGTTACGGTTTACCCACCAAATAACTGCACCCCTATTTGCCATACTGTACAATGTTCACAATTCAATGACAAGTATTAAGTATTTCAATTCACCAAAATGATCCAAGTTCCATAATTCCAAATTAAGATCAGTATCAACAATTTTACATCATCATACATGCACTCTAACATTACAGCCAAACATGCAATTTATCAGCACCACTTCTAAAAAATCAAAATCGAAGTCATGTTTTCATATCATATTGTTTAAGTGAAGTATCATCTTATGGTAACACCTATGAAGCCAAAGCAAGAAAGTATTGCAATCCAATTGTACATATTTGCTAAAAAAAACAGTTCTAAACTACAAACATTAGCATGGAAAGGGAGTTTTGCAAACCTGGGCCTTCTTTAGAAACATACCAGAGCTCGTCCGGACTTCACTCTCTACACTGTTACCAGATTCATTGTCAGCCACCATGGACTTCTCTAGCTTGTCCTTAGCCTATTCATCCAAATTCAAGAATCAAGATCAATCAAAACATAAACAACCCAATACTTTAGCTTTTTAAGGTGTCAAATACATATTGCCCTTAAACCATTTGCCAATGATGAAGACACAAAAATGAGAAACATCACTGATTTCTTCTTTTTTCTATATCTTCTCAGACACGAAACAAAGTTTGAGTCCGAAAACTTACCCCAACCCCCCCAAAAAAAAAAAATATGGAGTCCGAACTCTCAACGAATTCATACAGATGCAATCTTTTAGGGAAAAAAATGGATTAAAACACATTACAAGCAAGAGATAAAAGACTAACCAACGTTATGAGATGATCACACTCCTCATCTGTCAAAAATCCTCTGTATATGAAAGCCCTGCATAGTCCAAAATCAAATACCGCCAAAGCAACAAAATCAACGAGAGAACTCAATAAAGATCACAAGATAATCTTATATATCCGCACAGACAAGTGTAGAGAGAGAGAGAGAGGAACCTGGGACGCCATGAGAGTTGAGTGACACGAGTAGGATCAAAAGGAGCAGCGGAAGCACCAGTGGTCAATCTATAAATAAAGAAAACAGCAAAATCAGCAATGATATATATTCTTCAATGGCGTCTCAGCAAAGAAATACACACATGTAAATATATAGGGGAGAGAGAGAGAGACGTTTTCGAATCGCCGCGCCATTCTGAGAGTTGAAGAGCAGAATGGGAGAGATGATGGAAGAAGAGGAGGAAAGAGAGAGACAGTAAGATAAAAACTCCAGATTCTCATAGGTTAAGTTCAAATAGTCCAATGTGTTAAAGTTTAATTCCAGTTGAGGAGTTCAACCTTATTTTGAATTCACCAAGTCCAACATAGTTCAAGACCGGTTAAATTTTTTGCTTAGCAAGTCATCAAGAGGAGAGCATGGGAAGTTTATCTGCACCACCGAAAGAAACGGTCCAATCTTTGACCGCGTTTCATGAAAAGCTCCCCAACCTCCTCCTTCCGTAGAGGATAAGTCGTGATCTCCATCAGAATGATATTTTAATGCTATAAAGTAGCCTTGAGGATAAGTCATGATCTCTACCAGAATAATCTCTTAGTTGCGATAAAGTAACCTTGAGGATAAGTAATGATCTCCACAAGAATGATCTCTTAGCTACTATAAAATGGCTCTAATCTGGGAGAGGAAGGACACATGCTCCATCAGAGACTTACAGAAGACGAACCGACTACCGGAGATTACTATTTTCTTTGATTCTCCATTCTCTCTCTCAAAGCTTGTATCTCCATTCTCCATACCTTTGAATCAATAAAATACCCGGCAACTGAAGCCATTGAAGAGTGGACGTAGGTCGAATTGACCGAACCACTATAAATTGTGTCTTCTTTAATTTTTTCGTTGATTTCATTGCATTTATTATCTACACTTGACAGGTGGTGTGCAAAACCATTTTTGTGCATCATCAGTTTGGCGCCGTCTGTGGGAAATCGACAAAATTCTCACTCCTGAACATTACATCCATTAACTAATGGCGATCACTACTCGATCCATGAACCAACATGAAGACAATCCTCCACGAGAGGAGAAGGTTGCTCCCCCGCCTACCAACCCTGTTCCGAATATTCTAGCTCCGAATCCCCAACAAATATTGGAGACCATGCAACAACTGGTTGCTCAAAACCAATAGTTACTGCAACTCATACTTGCTAGACAAGGAGGAGCACCACACGGAGGTGCACAACATGGAGGACCCCAAGGTGGAGCACCACACGGAGGTGCACAACATGGAGGACCCCAAGGAGGAGCACCACACGGAGGTGCACAACATGGAGGACCCCAAGGTGGAGCACCACACGGAGGTGCACAACGTGGAGCACCACACGGAGGTGCACAACATGGAGGGCCCCACAGAGGTGCACAACATAGAGCACCCCAAGGAGCTCCACATCCTGGACATCAAGGAGCACCACGCCCTGTTGCTCCACGCCCGGGTGCCCCATTGGGCACCCCACTTCGGGAAGCCCAACATGAGGGAGCTGCACCTCCCCCTCCCCTTGCTTTCCAGGGAGAGGACCCTTATCTCCAGGAGGATGAGGGTGAAAACCAAAGCATGGGGCATGGAAGCCACTTCCATGATCATTCCATAGGAGCCCCCAATCATTGGGACGAGAAGATAAAGGAGGTACAGAATCAACTCGGTGATGTCTTCAACGCCATGAAGGCACAGGGACCCGAGACTGTTGACCACCTGGTAAGGCGTACTGATACCCCTTTCAAATCTGATGTAGCAAACTACCCCCTCCCTCAGAAGTTCAAAATGCCATCTGTGGAGACCTTTGATGGAACAAAGGATCCACTGGACCACCTCGACACTTACAAGACCTTGATGCAATTGCACAACGTACCAGACGAAATCATGTGCAGGGCATTCCCAACCACATTAAAGGGGTCTGCCCGACAGTGGTTTGCTAAGCTCTCCCCCGCCTCTATTACCTCTTTTGCCGAGCTTAGCAGATCATTCGTCTCACACTTCATAGGAGGGCGTCGCCACCAGAAGCCAGTTACGCACCTGCTTAGTATAAAGCAGGACCGCGAGGAGAGCCTGAGGAGTTACCTCACTCGTTTTAACGAGGAGGTACTCCAAGTTGATGAACCCGATGACAAGGTGACGATGACCGCCTTCTTGGGTGGCCTCCATTTANAAGGAGGAGCACCACACGGAGGTGCACAGCATGGAGGACCCCAAGGTGGAGCACCATATGGAGGTGCACAATATGGAGGTGCACAACATGGAGCACCCCAAGGAGCTCCACGTCCTGGACATCAAGGAGCACCACGCCCTGTTGCTCCACGCCCGGGTGCCCCATTGGGCACCCCACTTCGGGAAGCCCAACATGAGGGAGCTGCACCTCCCCCTCCCCNNGTGGAGCACCACATGGAGGTGCACAACATGGAGGGCCCCACAGAGGTGCACAACATAGAGCACCCCAAGGAGCTCCACGTCCTGGACATCAAGGAGCACCACGCCCTGTTGCTCCACGCCCGGGTGCCCCATTAGGCGCCCCACTTCGGGAAGCCCAACATGAGGGAGCTCCACATCCCTCTCCCCTTGCTTCCCAGGGAAAAGNACCGGCTAGGTCTTGCTCCTCAGAGGAACCGTCAACCCTTCACTCCCCTCAATGCTCCCGTGGAACACATCCTATTCCAAATCCAGGATGATCNGCTCCACGCCCGGGTGCCCCATTGGGCACCCCACTTCGGAAAGCCCAACATGAGGGAGCTGCACCTCCCCCTCCCCTTGCTTTCCAGGGAGAGGACCCTTATCTCCAGGAGGATGAGGGTGAAAACCAAAGCATGGAGCATGAAAGCCACTTCCATGATCATTCCAGAGGAGCCCCCAATCATTGGGACAAGAAGATAAATGNACGTTGCTGGAAGGGAACGAGCACCACAACCTCACAACCAGGAAGATCAGCAGCCCGTGGGGGAAATCCACACCATCTCAGGGGGACTAGCAGGTGGGGGAGAATCACTTTTCGCGATGAAGGCCCATGCCAGGAAGGCAAGACATGTCTACGAGATGCGCCCATCTAAGGTGTCGAAGCAGGAAGGCGACGAGGTCATATCTTTTTTAGACAAGAACCCGGAGGAAATCCAGCACCCCCATGACGACCCCTTGGTACTCACCACGACGGTGGCCAATTTTCATTTGCACAGGATCCTGGTGGATAGTGGCAGCTCTGCAGATATCCTATNACGTACCAGACGAAATCATGTGCAGGGCATTCCCAACCACGTTAAAGGGGTCTGCCCGACAGTGATTTGCTAAGCTCTCCCCCGCCTCTATTATCTCTTTCGCCGAGCTTAGCAGATCATTCGTCTCACACTTCATTGGAAGGCGTCGCCACCAGAAGCCAATTACGCACCTGCTTTGNGAAAAAAGTGTATCCCCTTGGATCCATCACACTTTCCGTCACCGCCGGAGTAACACCCCGAAGCTCCACAGTCACGATCAATTTCCTGGTAATAGAGTACCCGTCAGCCTACAACATCATATTAGGGCGGTCAGCTCTTAACACATTAAGAGCTGTGCCCTCTACCTACTATCTCGTTCTTTGCTTTCCAACCTCAAATGGAGTCGGAGAGGCCAAAGGGGACCAAATAACAGCCAAAGAGTGCTATGTATCCTCTATGAAGGCTAGGAAGCCCCAAGAAGCATTGTAGGTTGAAGTCCTTGACCCAAGGGATGACTCCGCAACATAAAGAGGAGAACCAGTCGAGGAACTTATCCCTATGGTCTTAGAAAAGGAGCACCCAGACAGAAGAATTTACATTGACTCTTCCCTTTCTGAAGAGCTGGCTCCCCTGTTGATTGATTTTTTGAAGCGTAATATGGACATCTTTGCTTGGTCGCATGAGGACCTTGAGGGCATCGATCCGGAAGTAGCTACCCACCGCCTCAATGTCGATCCACTGTACAAGCCTGTTCGCCAAAAGTTAAGGGGAACCTCCACTGAAAGGGCCCAAGCCATGGACAAGGAGGTTAGAAAGTTGATTGATAACGGGGCAGTCAAGGAAGTGCCATATCCGGAGTGGCTCTCCAACGTAGTAATGGTTACTAAGGCTAATGGGAAGTGGCGCCTCTGTGTCGACTTCACAGAACNGGGGCAGTCAGGGAAGTGGCGTATCCGGAGTGGCTCTCCAACGTAGTAATGGTTACTAAGGCTAATGGGAAGTGGCGCCTCTGTGTCGACTTCACAGAACTAAACAAGGCATGCCCAAAAGATAGTTATCCACTGCTGCAGATCGACCTCCTCATCGACGTCACCGCTGGGCATGAGTTGCTCACTTTCCTAGATGCATACTCGGGGTACAACCAGATTAGCATGCATCCCCCAGACCAAGAGAAGACATCATTCATCACGCCAAAGGGGACATACTGCTACAGGGTCATGCCCTTTGGGCTAAAGAACGCTGGAGCAACCTACCAACGGCTGGTGAACAAGATGTTCCAGTCTCAGATCGGAAAAACAATGGAGGTGTACTTGGATGACATGCTGGTAAAGAGCCTTGCAGCAGTAGACCACATTGATCACCTCCAAAAAACTTTCAACGTCCTGAGGTCCTATCACATGAAGCTCAACCCTGAGAAGTGCGCCTTTGGTGTGGGGTCTGGTAAATTCCTAGGCTTTATGGTCAATCAGAGGGAAATTGAGGCGAACCTTGACAAGATCAATGTCATTCTTGACATGAAGTCACCCTCCTTAACCAAGGAGCTCCAGCGCCTCAATGGAAGAATCGCAGCATTAAATAGGTTTGTCTCCAAATCTGCAGACAAATGTCTCCCTTTTTTCAAAACTCTCCGAAAAGCCTTTGAGTGGAAACCTGAGGCAGAGGAGGCTTTTCAAAAGCTCAAAGCCTACCTAGCAGCACCTCCCCTCCTGTCACATGCTACCCCTGGAGAAACTCTCCATCTATACCTTTCTGCTTCCCCATCAGCGGTAAGCTCAGTGCTCGTCAGAAACGACAATGGAGTGCAGAAACCAGTTTATTACGTGAGTAGGGCATACCGGGGGACAGATGTCAGATATTCAGCACTAGAAAAACTGACACTCGCTCTGGTCACGACAGCGAGACGGCTGCGACACTACTTCCAGGGCCATCGTATGGTGGTCATCACCGACCAACCTCTTAAAAG